TGTGTGTGTGTGTGTGTGTGTGTGTGTGTGTGTGTGTGTGTGTGTGTGTCTGTGTGTGTGAGAGAGAGAGAGAGATCCCTTTGTCAGCCATCTCTCTCCTCAGCCCCCCGCCCCCCAAGCCCCCAACTTCTTCTTCTTCTTTTTCTTCTTCTCCTCCTCGTCGCCATGTTCTTCTTCTTCTTCTTCTTCTTCTTCTTCTTCTTCTTCTTCTTCTTCTTCTTCTCCTTCTTCGTTTCTTCCTCCTCCTCCTCCTCCTCCTCCTCCTCCTCCTCCTCCTCTTCTCCAACTCTTCCTGATCATCTTGTCATCGCCGCGCGGTTTCATAATCAACCATTGCATTCGCTCTTTTATACACTGACTGACGTCCAGCGCAGCTGTGGGCATAAGGTTAAATAATGGAGCTACTACTGGACCAGGTTGCCAAAAACGAAACATACTTAGGTGAATTTAGATCCCGTGCCACCCACCCACTTACCCACCCAAAAAGCAGCACGTGAGTCCAGTTCCAAGCAGTTACGCCAAATATTATGACCGCCGTTGACGTGGAGAACATGTGGGGACAATGTCGTCGTAAATTGTCACAAGAGAGTTCTCCTCAACGATTGAGATAACGGCATTTCCCATCAATACAGTAGAAGCTGTTGCCACCGTTACAGGGTCCATAAGCACAGCACTGTAAGCACACACCGTCACAGCACTGGGGGCCATAGTCAGGGCAATCCGCGTTTGAAGCGCAAGCCTCCTGGAGGCCACGGGTCTTCGTGCCAAACAACTCCTTAAAAGCCCTCCTGCCAAGTGGATCTCTTTTGGAGGGAGGCCTAGCAGCAGCACTAGTCGCAGAGGAGGCAACAACCACTACCATCAGGATCACGATCGCGGCAAGGGCCTTGAACCCCGAAAACGGTGTGGTCGAGTTGGACGACTTCATCTCCACTGGATATCGGATCGCAAAGCCTCTCAGCACAGGAAATCAGATTCTCTCTCTCTCTCTCTCTCTCTCTCTCTCTCTCTCTCTCTCTCTCTCTCTCTCTCTCTCTCTCTCTCTCCTGTCTGTCTGTC